ATCCGCAAAAAATCTCTAAGAGTTTCATCATCCTCGATGTTAAACTCAGAATAATAAGCAAACCCCTGCGGAGTCACTGAATACGGAAACCAACCGGTTACTTTAAGGTTAACCGAACGCTTCCTCACACTCATTTTTTTTACATAACAACGAAACCAATTTATCATACTCCATAGTAAGCGGCAATTTAACATGACACTGTGGAGGTGAGCTATACCTCACAGAGTTATTCTCCAGCACAACCTCACCCCCCCAATATAATGAAACCCTTATTTTTGGCTCTTCAGACATTGTAACAAAATAATTGATAAGAAGAAGAGAGAAGTATGAACGGAAGTTAAAAGTTTGTATTGAATGAATTTTCATAAAACTGAAACGCCTTTAAATAAGGCAAGTCCGAGCCTGGGGTGCAGAATTTTTTTAAGGAATTCGCAGTACAATAATACGTTTTATGTGTTTGAATTATTGTTATGTCAGTTAATTATTGGTGGGGCCAAATAAGTAATTCACAGTACAATACTGCAAATTAGCTAAAAAGATATTTTTTAAATAATACGCAGTACAATACTGCGAATCACTATTTTTTTAACTAATTCGCAGTACTTTACTGCGAATTACTTTAACGGCTAAAATTTCGTTAAAGTAATCCGCAGTAAAGTACTGCGAATTATGTATTTAAGTAACTTTTTTTTTAGTAGTAAAAACGTGTTTTTTGTCCAAAAAAGTATTAGAAAAGTTTCGGACTCCTCTTATGGCTACTCATCCCCTCCGAATGGAAAAGGTTGCAGGCCCCTAACATGCAATTCATAGTAGTAAGTACTCCCTCCGGTCCAAAATAAGTGATTTTTTGGATATTTTCACACAGATTAAAAAATCCATCTTTTAGCATTAATTAGCAATGAAATTGACCATTTTAACCTTTANATACTCCAACACTATTTACTCCAAGGATGATGTAGGAAAAAAATAATTAATTCATTCTTGAAATCTGGAAAAATCACTTATTTTGGACCACAAAAAAAGGCCAAAAAATCACTTATTTTGGACCGGAGGGAGTATTAATTAAGAAATAAGGTACGGTTGTGGTGGAGCAGTAAGTTTCTCTTCATCCTTAACCAGAGGTTTCGAATTTGAGTTCTTGGGTATGGAGTCACCTTTGTTAGGAAAAGCTCTACCTCTGATATGAAACCTCCCGACGAATTCGAATTTAGCCATGCCCCAATATAAATATCGAACACCGAAATAAAAAAAAAAAAAGAAAGAAAAGGAAACAAGGTTCTGCGTCCTTCTTGTCAAGACAAGGACAAAGTTAAGAAACTATCATGTTTAACTTTAGTTAAGGTAAGTGTGTTTTCTTTGAAATAGTTTAAAATACATTGGAATAAATTAGCAGGTCCTAATGTTAGTTTTTTGGCAAATGAAATTGTTCTAAAAAAATTAACGATTTAGAAAAGTAAAAGGTTGTCCAGCTAGTATCTTTTTTTCTTTCTAATTTATTGTTAACGTTTCATCTCAACAAATGAAGTAATTAGTTAAGTGAGAAATAAAAAAAATAAGTGAGAAATAATTGATACTCCGTTTAGATAAAGCTTATAGTTAAAACTATTGAATATTTTTTAAAAAGGTACTATATCAAATCTTAAGAAACATAAAATATGAATTACTATATTAAAAAATATAAAGTAGAATAAAAAGATACTCTAATAATTACCTTGCCTTATACTGTTCTACAATCCAAGGGCTAGTACAAATGTACAATTATCTCTCTTGACATAGATGCAAGTTTCTTGTACCATCACTTACCACACTCCCCCGGATTGAACTCTCATTTTACCAATGATTTGAAGATTAGGTAAGAAAATGAAGAAGGAAAAGTAGAAGAGTAGATAATAAGGTACCAATTTTAATTCCTTTGCTTTATGTCCATCGTTTATTTTGAAGAGAGAACAATGCAGTTAATCAATTTTGTAGTTTCAGTTGAAATGCCTAAACATAGGATACCATCTCAATTATTTCCCTCTCTCGAGTTAACTTCGATTCAATAATATGTGATTGAAAAAGGTGAATAAGTCCCATGAGTTTACCTTTTAAAACTCAGTTCAATTCTTCCAATTTCTGAAAACCATTTAGGGTTATTAAGTCCAAAATTTTTATTCTGCTTACTCTTAAAAGAAAAAGGGCATAAGCTAAAGAGGATTGGAGGGCCTCCTGAGGTACAAACTCTTTAATCCTTTTTCCCGTTTTTTAACTTTTACAGCTAGCAAGTTCACCTTATTCATAAACGGGACACTTAATTATTACCCCTTACTAGCTTTTGTTATGTCACTCCGTATCAATCTTGTAGCTTGTTTGGCCAAGTTTTTTAATATTAAATATTTTTTTTAAAGTTGATGTATTTGGCTAAGTTTTTTAAAAAAATTGTTTTTTAGGAGAAACAGAAAAAAAAATAATTTCAATCCAAAAATACATTTTTTTTAGAAGCAGTTTTTAAAAGCTTGGTCAAATACTAATTGTTGTTTAAAAGTATTTTTTAAATTAATTAATCAAACACAAACTATTTCTCGCCAAAAATATTTTAAAAAAAATACTTCTTTTCAAATAAGTTGATTTTTGGAGCTTAGCCAAATATGTTAGTATTGTTCGGTCAGTATACAAAGTGACCGTACTTTAGTATCTGCCCGTTTTATTTTGTTTCTATAAAAAGGCCCATTTCTAATAAACCATTTCTAAAGGTGAAATATCTACACTCCTCTTAGTAGCTCTTTCCACTGACTCACATTTTTCTCACAGCTCCAGCTTAGCCATGGGAAAATTTCTAATACCCTTCTTCATTTTGGCCTCTCTCGCCATCCCAGGTACACAACAATTTCTTGTTCATGTAACTGGCTATCTGTTTTAATTTTATTACTAATATCTTTTTTTATTTTATATATAACAGTAGAAGTCACTGCTACAACAATGACAATGTACAACAAATGTAGCCACCCAGTTTGGCCAGGGATACAGCCAAGTGCAGGAAAGCCGGTTCTGGCTCGTGGAGGGTTCAAGCTGCTCCCAAATAAGGCTTACAGGCTTAGCCTACCGGCTGGGTGGTCCGGTCGAGTCTGGGGTCGGCATGGCTGCTCTTTTGATGCATCTGGACACGGGCGCTGTGCTACTGGGGACTGTGGTGGTGCGCTCTTTTGTAATGGCATTGGTGGGACCCCTCCAGCTACACTCGCTGAGATTACTCTGGGTAATGACCAAGATTTCTATGATGTGAGTCTCGTAGATGGCTACAATCTTGCCATCTCTATTACTCCATTCCGGGGCAAAGGTGAGAATCCCTGCCTAATTTCTCCTCTTTCTTTTGACATTGAAGTGTTTGATTGACTTATTTGTCCTGGATTAGTGCTATGCTTCCTATCATTCAAGTTTTGTTAGTTTTGTAGCAGGGGTACTTTCGACATTACATGTTATTAGTCCCACTCCATCCCCTTTCCGTTAACTTTTTTTCTCGAGGATTAGGTGAGTAGTTTTAGATCTACGAATCTGAACCTTTCCAGGGATTAAGTTATAATTGGTATTATCATTTTTTTTCCGCGCCAACAACTATTTATATATCGTGGCCTAAAACGTGTATAAAATATGTATAATTTTTATATAAACATACCGTATGTGTATATATACAAATTTTATACATTTTTTCGGCTATTATTTTCACAGCGACTATACAATATCATTTTTTCCTTATAAATTAATGTTATCAAACTATTTCGTCAAAGTAGTTCAAGCCCGCACATATGTCAAAATGTAACACCATTCCATCAGTCTTCACATTTTTTCCCTAAAATTAAAAATAAATGTTAGTGAATCCTCCGGTTGTACTAGTGGACTATAGCCTGTTTGGCCAAACTTCTCGTGTTTTTTTTATCCTTCAAAGTTGAAGTGTTGTACAAGCTAAAAGTGCTTTCGAGTAGCAGCATGCAGTTTTGGAGAAATAGAAAAAGTAGTTTCGAGTAGAATTACTTTTTTACAGATTGGCCAAAAACTAATTGATGCTCGAAAGTACTTTTCAAATTAATTAACAAACACAAACTTCTTCTTATAACCAAAAGTACTTTTGAGAAAAGTGCAATAAGGTCACATACAAGCTAATATACTCTAACAATCTACTTGAGCTCCTTCCGAACAAGAAAGCAATGGAGTATCATTTATTATCACTTTCCGTCAGCGACAAAATGCAGGGAATCTATGCAGAATCCCAACCAAATCCAGATATGGAAGTGACAAAGCTTGAACTCGTTTTAGATGTGTGTTTGTAATTTGTGCTGTCACCATCATCATCCATTAAAAATGTATCTGCACTTCTGTAAAAGTAATCTCAGTATTAGAGCTTACACCAAATTAATGGATAAAAATTTTGCAGGGAAATGTAGCTATGCAGGTTGTGTGAGTGACTTAAACACAATGTGCCCAGTGGGTCTACAAGTGAAATCTCATGACAAGAGGCAAGTTGTTGCTTGTAAAAGTGCCTGCGCTGCTTTCAATTCTCCAAGATATTGTTGCACTGGTACTTTTGGTAATCCACAATCTTGTAAGCCAACTGCTTACTCAAGAATTTTCAAGACTGCTTGTCCAAAAGCTTACTCTTATGCTTACGATGATCCCACTAGTATTGCCACTTGCACTGGTGGTAGCTATTTGCTCACTTTCTGTCCTCACCATTAGTACTCTTTTTTTTTTTTTTTTTCAACTCTTATTATTAGTAGTATCAAGTCAAATATATAGTCGTGATTTTAGTCTTCACCTTTTCTCTCTAGGTCAGATTCCTAGCTAGTATATTGTATTATTATCATCATTATCACTGGTGCTACACTCTTTATTTAAATTGGTAGCAGTTAAGTGTTTTTGGTTTTGTTGAAGTTGTGATATCATTGCTGCAATTATTCCTCGACCCTTTAATTAATTTCGGATTTATATCTGGAGCTTTGACAGTTTTTAAAATATGCACTCACTTTACAACAGTTAAACTTTGAGTAGACTGTATAAAATATCAAATTAACATTATCTAGAATTGTTCTTGCATAAAATTAACGGTTCATAGTTATGGACCTTATGGTGGTGGCTGGGTTAGCTGGTGTTTCTCGGTTGTATTTTTTCAACTATTTCATCAGTATATACTACTACTTATCATCAGCATAAGTACCCTGGTAAATTTTTCGATCAAAGCTTAAGAATATGAGATTTATTCATAGTAAAATTTGATTTGGCAATATAGAAAAATAATCATATAACTTGTGTCAGACAATCATAGTGTATAAATTATTTACAAACAATTTACAAACATCAAGGATCATTTAATTCATTTAATCTCATTTATATGGTGTAAAATTAAATCGATTAAATCAAACGCTAATAACAAATTACATCGATTATATAAATTTTTATTGACCATACTACTACGTTTAATCTCACTTATGGTGTGAAATTTTTTTCAACCTCGATAAAATCTACTTTGAAATGCTTACTCCTATTGCATAGTGGGAAAAGTAAGTTGAATTTAACCAAAGAATCTTGTAACGTGTCATGTTGGGCAAAGGAGGGTAAAGGGCAAAAAAAGAGGGTGGATTGTTGCAGTAATGGCTAATGGGGTCGCCGTTTATCTCATCTAAAAAATCTTCATGCCTCTGCCTTTCGCTGTTCATTTCTTGCTCGTTCAGAGAATCAAATCGTCGGCGACTTGCAAACATCTTTTCCTTTTTCAAACTTTATTAATCAAAAGCTATAATGGCTTTTCTATCTATTTCTTCTGCGAAGTTGAATTGCATTGGACTCACCTACAATGATATAGGGCATGAGGTGAATACGTGAGGGCTCAGTTCTAAAATGTACCTATTTATGGGTCAAAATCTGTCTAAGGATATTCGGCACGAACAGGTGCTATTAGAAGCAGTTTAGCCGAGATCGACCAATGACTGATGGTTTCACCGTCGAGCAGTCAACCATGGCCGAGGTCGAAGGCCAAGAGTAATAGTAACGGCTAGTTTTGTAATAGGATTAGGAGAATATTCCATTGAATATTCTCGATACTTGTACTTTTAGGTCAGATTGGGGGCATGTCTCATATAAATAGAAAGAGAGAGAAGGTGAAAGCATTTATTATTATTCTGATAAGAACTTTCTTGAGAAGTTGACTCTCCATATATATACAAACACTACCTTTTCTAAAGAGATTCGATTCTTTGTTTACTCGATACCTTTTCACATCAAATCCGAGAGAGTCTCCAATATTCTCATAGTTGTTTGTCTCACATCATTATTAGAAAGAGGAATCATCCACCTCATTCAATATTGGGCGAATCATTCTCTTTATTTACATTTAGTGCCAATTTATTGTTATTTAATGCTTGTTATCCTCATCTTACTATGAAGTTTGAACATTTGATATATATTGCATTAAATCCATTCTAACATTGTCCTGTGTTGTCCACGTGGGCCGATTTCAGATCTGAGGTCATTATCTTTAACTAGGATTAACCCCGTATCTTTTTATTTAGTTTAACCAAAGGTCCTTATTTTTTGGTCAAACAATTTGCCGCCATCTGTGGTGATTTCCTAGTTAAAATTTTCGTTTCTTATAGATCTATAACTAACCAAAAAAAAAAAAAAGCAAAACGCAAGACCCTACACCTTTTTGTGCACAAATCTGACATGGCAGGTAACGGAGAAGAAAGGAGGAAAGCAATAACCGACCTCACCGCCAACCTGCTTCACACCATCAACAAGGTCTCTGAAACGGAGGGTGAGGACATGACACCAAACGCCTCCCCCAGGCGAAGCGGCTCGCCCCTTCCTCATGGTAGTGTCACGATGACCCACGGTAAAGGAGCCTCCACGTCCACGACGGAGGCACCACCAGCGGTGAAAAAGTTGCTCGAAGCCTGGCTGACGAATACATTGACCAGTATCCTCGAAAAACCCACTCAAAAGGCGATCGGAGAGGATGTAGGGACCTGCGTTACACCAACAATAGTCGAGCAACACGACCATCCTCCACTCGCAACAGTTATGACTCACAATGTTAATGATGCAGGTAACGACACCGTCACAACCATCTTAAGGAAAATAGAAGAGATGGAAAATGAAAACAAAATGCGGCGAGACCAAATGAAAGAGCATCAAGAAAGGGTAGACCTAATACCAGGCGCCCCAAAACTCTTACCAAAAAGAGACGTTGGTCGGTTTGTCGAGCAATCGTACAGTGATGAAGCTGCACCACATGCCATACCTAAAACTTTCAAGATGCCTCTGTACCTAAAAATATACGACGGTACGATGGACCCTGAGGATCATGTGACTCATTATGTCACCGTAGTAAAAGGCAACGATCTCGCCAAAGAGCAAGTGTCCTTCATCTTATTGATTTGGCGAGACCCTCACCGGGGGCGCATTAACTTGGTATTCACAGCTGCATGCGCGCTCCATTAAAACATTCGAAGAGATGGCCGACAAATTCGTGATGGCCCATGCCGGAGCCAAGAAAGCGGAGGCAAGAGTAAATGATATATTTGCCATCAAACAATCACTTGGAGAAGGACTGAGGGACTTCCTTGCTCGATTTAACTGCGTAAGGATGACCTTACCAAAGCTATCGGAAGGAAAGGCTGTGGCAGCTTTCTAGAACAGGCTGAACAGAAGCGGCTCAAGGGCGACCAGAAAGCTGCTGAGTCGACTCATGAAATATCCCCCAACCACTTGGGATGAAATACACAATGCCTATTGCGCCGAAGTCCTAGCTGACGAAGATGACCTAAACGGACCAACACAACGGCTGACCTTAGTACAAGCCGAGTCCAAAAAGGATCTGAGAAACGACAACAGAAGGGATCTGGCAGGCCCCCGACCCAACCGAGAAAGACATCAACCTTATATCAGGAGTGCCATCATGTCGCCTTCCCTCCACGATGAAGGCCCGTCTAGGCCGAGAATAGGGACTCACTGAAACGAAAAAGGTATGCCTCCCTTACTATCTGCTTACAATTTTTGTGTTTCACCTTCAGAAATAGTCTACGCACGAGAGAAGCTCGGTCCAAAGGTGAAGTGGCCACAGAAGATGAGGTTCGACCCAAGCACCAGGAAGTCAAACGCCCTCTACGAGTTCCATCAGGAACGAGGTCATAAAATTGAGGACTGCATCGCTCTAAGACAAGAGGTCGTGAACATGCTCCACCAGGGACACTTGAAAGAGTTGATGAGCGATCGAGGAAGAGTCAACTTCGCTCGAGGACGTGAACAGCACCAGGGCCCACCCAAACCACCTTCCCCGACTCGAACCATTCAAATGATCATCGGAGGAGGCGATGCCGCATCGATCAACAACGTAAAGTTCACGACCACCCACGAGCTTAAACGACCGATTACTCACGAACGATACGACGAACTCGAAGAAAGTATCATCTTCGATAAGTTAAATACCCATGGTTTGCTTTTCACTCACTATGATGCTCTTGTTATCACTTTACGCATATTTGATACAGATGTGAAACGTATTATGGTGGACGATGGGAGCGGCGCATGTATTATCCACCCTTGAGTTCTTGCGCAGATGAGACTCGAGGATAAGATAGTGCCACGCTGCAGCACACTAACCGGTTTTAACAATGCAGTTGAACGGACGCCTGGAGAAATCACACTCCCCGTCCTGGCCGGTGGCGTTACCTTGGAAACCACATTCCACATCATGGACCAGGACACGGCGTACAACGCCATAATAGGTCGGCCTTTGATACACTCCATGAAGGCCATTCCCTCAAGCTTGTACCAGATCATCAAATTTCCCACCCCATGGGAAGTATACTACATCGGCCACAAGCTTCAGGAACTAGGTAAATTCTGTCAATTCTTACCCAGTAACGCAGACTTGTTTGACTTTTCCCATACAGACAAGCAAGGTATCCCGAAAGAGATAAAAACACACAAGCTAAACGTCGATCCGTTCTACCCTCCGGTAAGACAAATTAGGCGGAAGTTCAATTCTGCGATAAACGATGCAGTCCGTGATGAGGTTGAAAAGTTGTTGGAAACGGCTCTATCAGGGAGTCAAAATACCCCCAACGGGTCGCCAACGTGGTCATGGTGAAAATGAAGAACGATAAGTGGCGGATGTGCGTGGACTTCACAGATCTAAACAAAGCCTGCCCAAAGGACTCATTTCTGCTTGCTCACATTGATCAACTCATTGAAGCAACGGTCGGGCACGAGCTGCTAAGCTTCCTAGATGCATACTCGGGCTATAACTAGATCCTCACAGAGGAAGAAGACCACCTTCATCGCCCACCAAGGAATGTTTTGCTACACGGTGATGCCTTTCGGACTAAAAAATGCGAGGGCAACGTATCAAAGGTCGGTGACAAAATTGTTCAAAGACCAACTCGGAGAAACTATAGAGGTCTACATAGAGGATATGTTGGTCAAATCTAAAAGGAAAGAGGATTACATCGACCATCTGAAATAAGCCTTCGACAAACTCAGGCCATGCAGAATGAAACTGAACCCCGAGAAGTAGGGGTGTTCGTCGGTTGATACGTTATGATATTTAGACATTTCCGTTCGGTATTTTCAGTATTCGGTTCCTTAAAATGCTATACCAATACCTTACCTAATTAAATTCGGTATTGTTTAGTTTTTTCTCCTTTCAATTTCGGTTTATTCGGTTCAGTAACTTCGGTTTGAATACTAACTAGTGCTTGGAGTCATAGGCTATAATATTCTTAATTAAATTACTCAAAAGTACAAAACTAAAAATATTTGTTGACAAAAATTTTGTCAAAAACTAGCGAATATCAACCCAGAGAGAGAAAACTATACATAAACGAATAAATTTGATCATAGAAATATCTTATTACTTGCTTAGAGCTAATTG